GCTGCAGTCGCGCAGCGTGAACTGCAGCTCCACGAAGATGCGCTGCCCGCGGCCGCGGCCGATCCAGCCCGTCTGCAGCCAGTTGTCCTGGTTGGGCTCCAGCACGTTGCACACCTGGTACGTGCGGATGGGACGGTCGTGCTCATCCACACCGCTGATCTCCTCCCACTGAGGAGGAGGAAGAGCAAAGATGTGGGCAGCTCAGAGCCGGGGCGCCCCTCGTAGGCAGAGGCCCAGATGCGCTGCCCGCGGCCGCGGCCGATCCAGCCCGTCTGCAGCCAGTTGTCCTGGTTGGGCTCCAGCACGTTGCACACCTGGTACGTGCGGATGGGACGGTCGTGCTCATCCACACCGCTGATCTCCTCCCACTGAGGAGGAGGAAGAGCAAAGATGTGGGCAGCTCAGAGCCGGGGCGCCCCTCGTAGGCAGAGGCCCAGGCCCGGTGGTGACGGAGGCTGAGTTACAAGATGCAAAGCCAGGTGAAACGTTGGAGACAACTGAGTCCAATTTTAAGTTTTATAGATGGGGCAGCTGAAGCTCCCGGGTGACAGGGACTTGCCTGGCTGTACACATGGACTTAGGAGCAGAGGGAGAAATGGTACCTGGAGTCTCTTGGCTCTCCACCCAAGGCCCTTTCCATGACACCAACCTGCTGTCACATGGCCACATCTCCCCGCTCGGACCCTCTTTCCAAGCCTTTTTTAGAATTCCAAGTCTTGTTTATTCTATCAATCCATCCATCAACAACACTGCTGGTAGTATCTACCGTGTGTCAGGCACTGTCTAGCATTGGCTCCGTCCAGAGGCCACATTTCTGTTCCTAGACAGACAGTTCTCGCCTCACTTATGTGCCTTTTCTTTTTTTTCTGTCTGACTGAAGACTCAACGTTTTCTAATAGGCCATTCTGGCTTGAAGCCAGGGCTGCTGCAGACCACATGTTCCAAGGAGCATTTTGATGTGATGTAACCATGGGGAGCTAAAGGGACTGAGTCCTGGGCCACAGGATCCCCGTGACAGGGGGATGGGAAGGTTTACACTTACCCCATTGCTCGGCAGTGCAGTCCAACCCAGTTCAACCTGGGAGGCTTTGGAATCCAGGAGGATGACTAGGGAGAGGGGGGAACAGAGATATCAGAAAGCCAGAAGGTCAGGAGGGTAGACCTTTGGTGAGGTCACTGTAAATTTGCTAACTGAAGGATGGAGAGTGTGACAAAGAACACAGACAAGTTTTTTCCACTTCATACATCCCCAGGAGGCTCAAGTCCAGAGAGGGGTAGCCGTGTGATTAGGGAAGGAGCCTGTATTCATTTCCTGTGGCTGCTGTAACAAGCTACCACACTTTGGCAGCTTACAGCAGCAGACATTTATTCTCTTACAGTTCTGGAGGTCAGGAGTTGGAAATCAGTTTCACGGATCTAAAGTCAGGGTGTCAGCAGGATGGGTTCCTTCTGGAGGTTCAGAGGGGAGAACCCATTTCCTTGACTTCTTCAGCTTCTAGTGGCCACCTCGATTCCTCGGCTTGTGGCCCCCTCCTCCTCCATTTTCAAAGTGCATCACTCCAGTCTCTGCTTCTGTCGTCATATTGCCTTCTCACTTCTAGTGGCCACCTCGATTCCTTGGCTTGTGGCCTCCTCCTCCATTTTCAAAGTGCAACACTCCAGTCTCTGCTTCTGTCGTCATATTGCCTTCTCCTCTGGCTCTGACTCCTCCTGCATCCCATTTATAAGGATCATTGCAATTATATTGGGCCCATCCAAATAACCCAGGATAATCTCTCCATCTCAACTCCCTTAATCACATCTGAAAAGCCTTTTACCATTTAGGATAGCCTTCAAAGGTGTGGGGATCAGGATGTAGACACGTTGGGAGGAGTCATTATTCAGCCTGCCACAGAGCCTATGACAAGTTCTCTAAGGTTGCCTATAAAATGGGGGGAGGGGGGTGTTGTCAGTGACACCCCCCAGCCTTCCCAGGTTTTCTGAATTTTAACTAAGCATCAAGAAGAGGGGGAGAGTGAGTGTATCAGAAGACACCTGTGTACAGCCCAGGGTTCATGTAGACTCAGGGGCTCTTCTGAGGTGTGGAGTCACCAGGGAGGAACTTGAGCCTTTTTACTTTGACTTTTAGGGCCTCTGGGGGTAACAAATGAAAATCTCTCATTTCCCCAGCCATCCCCTTTCCCGGGGGCTGTCACCTCCACTGCCTTTGAAAGAACGGCAGTGGTCCTTTTATATATAAAACCATGACCCCTCCTGCACCAGAGAGGCTTGGAGTCATTTCCCCGCCCCCAGCAGGCACTGGCCCAGAAGTCTGAATCCTGCTCTCGGTATGGGTCCCAGAAAAGCCCAGGTCTGGACAGCATAGCAGCAGCTCAGAGACAGGAGCCCAGACCACAGACAAATCTTGTAAGATTACTCGTCTGGAGCTTACGCAAGGGATGGGGCTCCACAGCGAGGGCCTCTACAAGGTTTGGCCCCGAAGGCATCAGCGGCAGTGGGCAGCATCGCCGACAGCGGATTTCAATATAACTGACAGCACATAGGAAATTTCATATTGGAAAGCCTCAGAAATCCAGCGCCCCAACAACCTCGCCGTCAAAGCCTCAAATCCCAACTCCTCAGGATCATGCACCTGGATATGACGCCTCTGGATTCAACTGAGCATACAGCTCCCCCAAATTCAGAATCAGAGGCAAGGCTCGGGCTCTGGTACCGCGGGCAGCCCCAAACCCCGCAACAAGGACCGCTTCGCGTAGTCTACGCTCCAGATTCAGCACTGCGGACAGCTCCACGATCCAGCTCCCACCCCCTAACACACACACCACCACCACCACCACCATCACCATCAGCAGCAGCAGCAGCAGCAGCGTTCCACCTCCAGTTGGCTGCATGCACAGTGGTCCCCTAGCCCCCGCTGTTCGGGCTGCATCCCGTCCCCCCATACTCCTATCTCACCTGGGCATCCCCCTTCTCTTCTGCTCTCTTCTTCTCCCCGCCCCCACACCTCCCACCTCCATTTGCTCAGCCGGTCTGTCTCACGGCCCCTGGACCACCGCCTCTGGCTCCCACGGTTCCTGGTGTCTTTCTTCCCCGGCCTCCCAGGTCTGCAGACCCCGAGCTCCTCGATGCCCCTCTCTTCTCTATTGCTTAGCCACCTTTTTCTCTGTCTCTCCAGTTCTTTGCTTCCCGCGCCCGCTTGCTTCAAACCCCAATACAGACTCCAGTCTCTCCATAGGACTCCCTCGCCAGCACTCCCGCTTTTCAGCCCCTTATCTTTTGGCACCCCGGGCTCCAAGAACAGCCGCCAGTCTCCTCACCTTCCTCGGCGGTCCCGGGCCTCCCTGGTCCCAAAAGCAACGCGAGAGAAAGTGGCATCAGGCAAATGAACTGGCGCAGCGGATGTGGGCCAGCGCCGGTCTCCATGGTCCGCAGACCGAGCTGTCAGTGCGGCGGCGGCTCAAGCCGCGCCAGCCCCAGCACCGCTGAGCAGTGCCCCCAGACCCCGGCGCCAGCTGGGGGCGGGACCTCACCGGTTACCGTCATCCATGGGGACCAATCACTGGGCACCGCCGCTGGAGCTCCACCAATCACCGTCAGCAGAGGGTAGAGGGGCGGAGTTTCATAGGCCAGGGGCGGAACTGCGAACTAGATAGGGGAAAGGAAGGGGTCCCTCCAGTCTTCAAACTGTGGGGGTGGGGTCGTGCTGAGCGCTGGCTGGGCTCCTGGGGAGGAGGAGGAACTGGCGTCCGTAGTCCAGAGGGCTAAACCTTAGCCCCTCGTTACTGAGAAGTAAATAATGTGGGCGTGGCTTACAAAGGGGCGAAACTCGGGGAGACAGCGACACTTGCAGCCTCTGAGCTAGCCTGGAAGGTCCCTCGTTCCCAGGACCTGCAGGGGTTTGGATGTTCTGACCCCAAGCCCTGGGAGCTCCTCTTTCTCCCAGGCCTTGGCTTCTTCCAGTGTCTGCGGTTCCCGGTGTCTCCCGGCTCTGGATCCGGCTCCCTTAGCTCCCCGCCCTCGTCACACACACACACACACACACACACACACACACACAAGCACTCCCCGGCCGGGGGAAGGGGCCGACCCCGCCCCCGGGAGCTGCTTGAGAAGAGAGCGAAGTGGGAAAGAGTCCCACCCTACCAGCCACACTTCTGAAGCTGAGAGACCATGTGGATGCCGGGATGGGGCGGTGGTGGGTTTTGCATCAACGATCGATTTCACGGGTTCTTGCTCTCGCTGCCAGGACACAGGCAGCACTCGCCACAGCCCACCGTGTCCCCAGTCGGCTCCGAGCCTGGAGTTACCCCTTGGCTAACCCTCTCCGCCCACCCCGGGGGATTGGCGAGGCGCGCGGCGGCCGGGACGGCTAGGCATCTGCTGGCGAGGCGGAGCAGTCCTCGGCGAGTTCAGCCAGCACTGAAGAAGCCGCGAGGAAACACGACCTCTATCTAGTGAAGGTCATTTATGTGCCCGCGGAGGGTTTAAGGCGCCGGTGTGGGAAGGGTTGGGCCCTCGTCTAGGACGAGGGAGGCGGCTCTTGAGCGCCACCATCTGGGCTGAGCTTGAACGGAGAAAGCTCCACCCACCCTGTGGCTGTTCAGAGCTCTTTTCTTGGGGGCCCCAACCCCTGTCCCTCTGGAAGCTGAAGAAGCCTGGAGAACGGATGTGAGCCTTGTGTCTACGAGACCCGTTGGCTTGCGTGTCTCTGCATTCTGTATGTGTGTATTCCTCACCCCCCCCACCACCAACAACACTGACTGGGGCCCACGCTCTTGTGCTGAGATACCCCGGCCCATCGCCGTGTTCCTGCCACCATCCATACTTCCTCAAGCATAAGTGTAACTACATTTTTTGGCATTGTAGACCACTAGCCACGTACAAGCTGCTTCCATGTGTCATTTCTGTGTGTGTGTGTGTGTGTGTGTGTGTGTGTGTGTGGCATGTTTACAAGCACACTTGCTCGCTCACAGACATACTCGCTGGGCAGTAGCCATGGAAGGGCTGGGAGGATCGGGCTCCTTTGCCTGCAGACAGGAAGGCCATCAGGAAGGGCTCGGGCTGGGACACGCTGGAGACGGGGCCGCCGGGGAAGCAGAAGGCGGTGTGCGCTCTGGCCAGTCCTCAGATGCTGACAGGGGCCTCTGAAGTCAGGTCTACCTGACTTACACCCCACCTCCTTCCCATCTTCATTCTCCTCACGCTCGCTTCCCCCTCCCCCTGCCCCCAGCGCTAGGAGATGGTATTTTTAGAAGCTGCTTAGAGACCCAGGACTCCTTTCATTTCAGAATGAGTCTTCCCTCCGTCACTGCTCACCCTCTCTTCAGAGCCAGGTCCCGTCCCCTCCGCAGTCTCTAAGCGCCAGCGATGGCCTCTACCCTGAGCTCCGGGGACCTCAGCCCAGAGGGTCTGACCCTATTGCTACAACAAAATACAGACTCCCTGGGAGCTTCCCAAGGATCCCTCTCGAGCCAAACCTACGGGGGGAATTTTCCGGGGAAAGCCACATAGGCTGCCCCACAAACCCCTGGCTTGCAAGAATCTGGATCCCACCCTCTCCCACCACACACACCTGTAGGCACCCCCGGGCACCGCCAGATCTAGACCCTAGGCATGGGAAAAAGAAGGGGAGAAGATGTAGTGAAATAAGCCTGGTCTTTCTTCCTCTGAACAGCTCATTTATAATAAAAACAAAACGGAGAAGCCCCAATGTATGTGGATAGAGTTGCTCCAAGGCCGACTCCACTCCACCAGGAGGCTGCAGAACAGACACCCCACGAAGAAATCCAGAAGGGCCTTAGGAGGAAACTGAGCCATGGTTTACTGTCGCCTTTAAGTGCTGGGGCCAGTCAGCCAAGGGCGGGTTAGAGCCCTCCCTGAACTGGCAGGTTGGGGGGAGGGT